CAGAAAAGAGAGAAAGAAAAATTCAGACACCAGCACCAAGAAAGAAACTCCCCTCAGAAAAATAGCAGCAAACAAATCACTTGATTTTGTCCTTACCTGCATTGTGGCTTATTTCATTGAGTTGGCTAATAAACTTGAGACCTCAGTGTAAATCACAAAACAGTAAGAGCTGATTTTGGCAACATAATTAAATGGCTGATTTCCTTCCATGTCAAAATAGGGTTTGATTGGTTGTAGAAGATGACAAATACCTTTGTGGTTTCAATGTTCTCAAGTGAAAAATCACTTATTATAGACCTTATTTCGAACACGCAAAGTTGTTAGACCTTTCAATATTAGTCCCTTTAATCCTTCAATAATTCTCTGATCAGTGAGGCAATTAAACTCACAATTAAAGCCTTACTTAATTTATAAGTAATACTGCTGCCTGAAAAAATGGGAGGTGAGGTCAAATTGAGACGCAGATTTTAAAATGAGCTACACTTCAATATCTTTAAAAAGGGGTTAGCAAGATGAATGATTTCATGATGATGTACATTAGGGAAGCAAAGCCTGAAGGCTGCCCTAAAGGAGGTAGAGTTTACATTATATAAGATTTCTTAAGTCAAACAGTTCAGAAATGTTGGAATAAAATGTTCTCAATAAGCTCAAGGAGCAAAATAAGTCAAGATCATTTCCATTCTTGACCTTCTCTTGCTGTCAATAAAATATTTTATTATTACATAGGAGAGAACACAGGACAGCACACAACAAATCATTTCATATATAAAGTCTCTCCAGCTACAGAGCAGGTAACTGACCCCTCCACAGTAAGCTCCACAAGACCAGAGATCAAGCCTGTTTTCACTACTGCAATTTGCTCAGTGCCCAGTGTAATTTTAGTACATGAGAGGGACTAAACATTTCTCAAATCGATGAATGAATAAATGAATCAACTACTGACTTTAGAAACTTTTGAATTAAAAACTATATGATTGCTAAAAATAAGTTTTGATACAAGCATTGTTTCTTAAAAAAGGAATATTATTTATATAATCTTTCATGAACATGCCAATTTGGATATTATTTAATGTCTTAGGGGGCATTCATTCATTTCTTCAATAATTATTTAATGAGACCAGTCACTATGCTAAGTGACAGAGATAACAAAATGAGCAAAATCAGATATATCTGTATCCTTTTCGGTGGGAAGACAAAATGAAAGCTCACATAAATAAAAAAGTAAATTAAAACTGTAATAAGTTCTCTAGAATAAGACATATACTAGAGGAATCTCATCATATCTAGGGGCAAGGTCATGGGAATAGCCCCTGAGATATAATCTGAAGGATATATAAAATTTAACAAAAAGACTTATAGTGAAAAATGACTAGAATTTAAGCTCTCTGAGAGCAGGACTTTTTGTTTATTGTGTTCATTGATAAAGCTGAAGTTCCCAGAACACACGACATATAGGAGGCACTCAATAAATAGATGTGGGATTTAAGAATATTCTAAAGGAGAGAAAACTATACATCTAACTGTCATGGGCAAGCAATTCGATGAAGAACTAGTGGGGATGAAGGGCAGAGAGTGGAGAGGAGCAAGAGTAAGACAAGCTATAGAGGCCAAACCACATAATGCTTGAAAAGGCAAGCTAAGGACTTGGCATTATCTGAGCAGACCAGAGAGCCATTGCATTAGGCTTGAGAGGGTGGTCAGTGATAACACAAACACATTTACATTTTAAAAGATTGCTCTGAGTACAGTGTAAGAAGGAGAATGGGCAAGAGTCCGGGTGGAAGATGAGCATGACCTAGGCTAGGATGGTAGACGTGATGAAGAAAATAGAGAATGGATTGCAAAGATATCTGGGAGGCAAAGTGAACTCAGCTGGTAGTAGATGGGTTAAAAATGGGTAACAGGTCAAGGGGTCTTCTAAGTATCATGAATTTACCCTCAATTGAGATAGGAAACACAGAGGACGAGATTTTGGAGGAAAAGATCATTAGTTGGGTTTTAATCATATTGAGTTTGAAGTCTCTTTGGGACTAACAGTTGGTGTGATCAACCAGGCATATTAAAATACTGGCCTGGAGCTCAAAGGCAAGTTTAAAGGCAAAAGGAGTGATATAATGAAAATCAAAATCCCAAACTAATTTCTCCATTTTTGAGATAGGAAACAGAAAACATAAAATTTTTACAGTAAGTCAGTAAGTATGATGCTCTGTTGCTACATTCCATATGCATATTACCCACAGAGAACAGAAAGGCAGGAATAATGTTGTGACCAACAATGTTATTCTTCTTTGTGTTATGATGTAAACAACACAAGGCAGCTTTGCGTTAACTGGCAACAGAAAATGCAGGTATGGAAACCTATACTTGTCATTGTGGCATAATCTGTTACATTGTTACATATTTGTAACTGTGTATACAGGCATACAGACATACATATAATTTCTACTCGAAAAACAATATATGAATTCTAATGTTGAAGAGATAATTACTAAACTAAGTGCATTCGGTATGCATACATACTTGTTCCAAAAGAAATAACATTAACACCAATAATAAGAACACTAACAATTAAAAATTACTAGATTTGGTAACACCATTCAGTAATTTGACCCACTATTTTTAGCGTATTAACAGTTTTTCTCAGTACAAGGTATTGGAGTTTTCTACATCCTATAAAATTATAATAGGCATTTTCACACATTCTCAGTATAATTATAATAGATACTGACATTAAAGATCCTGTGGTAATAAAAATGCCTAAAGTGCCTTCATAATCATCAGGTATCAAAAAGGGTTTAAATTTTGTTCCATGAAGTTTTACGATTGAATTGGTCACTATGTATTATATATCAAACAGAATATTTGAATAATCAGGACAGTTCATTATTCCTTAAGCATGCAGAAGAATGCAGCTGACCACGTCTGTTCCATTCCTTCTTCAGAAATGGGACTAAGCAACCACAATAAAATGAGTAGCTTGGTCATGCCTTCTCAGTCAGAAGGATTTGTATTTCTTCTACCGGACGTCAGTCAAATAAATATGAACATGAATCTGTATGTTCATTTCATGTAATCTTCAATCTATGTATAATGGATGAATTTTAGAGTATAAAATTTTGACAGTATTATATTTTACTGGCTCATGTTTTCAAACAAGCCTCAAGTATGTGTGTATATATTTGTACACATAGATATATATAATTCTGCCTAATAGGATAAATTAATAAAGTTCTATCTTACAGTAAAATATGTATTCAATAATTATACCAATTCAAATGCCAGCAATGAATAATGAATAGCGGAGCAAACCATATTCCTTTTAATTCGTCCATGTCAAAAAGTAATTTTGATACGACTTGGGATAGACTTCAGCATACCAAAAATGAACACGTTTGTTCTGTTTCAAATTTTTTTTTCATTTTAGAAAAATAATTAGAAATCTCAAAGCCTTGAAATAAACTTTTTTAAATAGTAACTTTTATAGGCAGTTGATTCTTTTTCAAGATTAAAAAGGAGAGTAGGGCTAGGATAATACCTCGGCCTCTTTCTTGGACACTCCTCAGGTATCTAAGATATAATCTAAATTACGCAGAGATTGCTAAAAAAGTCAAGATGTGCTTTCCCTATTTTGAGTTATGAAACATGGGGAGTTTAGGAAAACCTACCGATTTTTTCCTCTAAGACTTTCATAATATAGGATTATGGTCCAATAGGTAAGTCTCTATTCTTAGAGACATTGTAGGGTTTTCTCCAGTTCCTGTAGGCAGAGGTTTTATTTCATTTGAATAATTTCTGTGTATAGTTCTATTTCCAATGGAGATATTACTATGCATCTGCCTTTATATTTAAACAAATCATTCTTTAATAACAATTCTACTAATTTCCTTTCTGCTTTTGGAAATCAGAGTGCATTTACTAGAGATTGGATTATCTTTCAAAAACTCATAGTTAAAACTTGGCTGACCTTGATACAGTTCTTTAAAATGTGCATGTGTGAACAAACACCCAACTCACTTAAACCAAGACCTTCCAAACCCCTTACCATCATCTTCACACTCTTCCAGAGACTTCTGCTGCTTGTTCAGGCACCGTGGGTCTAACCAAGATGTTGTTTTTGTGTTATGGCTGAAATCGAGAAACAAAAACAATAAATATGTTTTTTTTTAAAAAAAGCAAAAAGCCCAATGACAAAAGAATTATACCCTCTTGAATATTTGCTCTTCGGCCAATCAAAGATACTTTCCAACAGCAAACCCAAACCAGAAGAAAGCCCGAGTTTGGAATTATAAAATGGCTTAGGAAAGCTCTTAGGCAGGTCCTTTTACTTATCTAAGATATAATCATTCCATTATTGAACGCTAAAATTACAATACCAGTTTTATTTCTGAACAATGAGTTCCAAATGACACCCCTTGTCTGTATTGTCTACTGTTGCCTAGACTTATTTTAGTCTTCACATTTGCTGAAGAGCAAACTCCAATTTCTTTTAAATTTGCTATGACTTAAATCTTGAATGCTGGAATTCACGAAGAAGGCTGCTATTTCACTCATTCTATTCCATCAGAATTCTCATGACAGTGAAATTATCCCAATTCATGCAAGTGGCTAAAAGCTGCTAATACATGTCATTAATTGCAGTGTCCTAAATTATGCTTCAGATATAGTGAAGGCAACCCCAAATTACCTATCATAAATAGAGTCTGGGCCAAGAAAAACCTTGCAAAGAAGTTAGACATGCCACCTAACTGCCTGCTGGAGGGTAGAGCCCAACTCTGAATGAAGTGTTTCAACAGACACTGACTGGGGCCCTGACAGTCTGAAAGAGTGCAGAAACATTCCCAAGAATATTGCCCCTTATCACTTTAGAAACGTCACAGGAATGACTGGAAGATTTGATCCAAAGCAGATCAATCCACGGGCAAAGTTCTGCTTGAGCTACCGTTCTACTCTATGCAAGCTAAACTGGAAGAGCAAAGAACTGCAAGTCTGGTAGTTCATGCTGTAAACCAGAAATGAAAACAAGATTAGAAATTTTTTTTTTAAAGTTTAGGTAGTAAATCTAATTTTTTTTTTTAGAACTCTGAAGCTTAGGTTGCAAATATGTTGAAAAATGGCCCAAGTTCTTTATATTAGATTCAAATCTTATGAAATATTGAAAAAGAATTATGCCTTAAGTGAAAAATAGAATGTATAAATGTATATACGCTTCATCTCGAATGAATGAAAGAAAAAAAAAGGTAACGTAGTACCGTAATACCATCAGTACTACTTATTTGTCTACTTACAACTACCAGAATCTGCTCTTTAACATATGGTAGAATTTATTTAATTCTTACAATAACTCTATGAGAAGGGTATTATTAGTATTAAAAATGATTACTCCTATTTTACGGATAAGATGAAAAAATTGCCCAAGAACACTCTGTTCATATATGACAGAACTAACAATCAACCCCAGGCAGTCTCATACTAGAATCCATGGTCTGCGCTGTTCCTACACAGTGAGATGGTAAAAATGGTCATCACTGGGAGGCCATTGTGCATAATTTTTCAAAAATACCTTATTGTTTTGAGATAATTACAGATACATGTAGTTGCAGGAAAAACACAGAGATTCCACATGCCCTTTACCCAGATATCACCAATGGTAACATCCTGCAAACTACAGTACAATATCAACTCCGGGATATTGGTATCCATACAATCAAGATCCAAAACATTTCCATTATCTCAAGGATCCCTCCTGTTGCTTTTTGATAGCCACACATGCTTTCCTTCTAATCCTTCCCCGTAAAGCCCATTTCTAAATCCTGGCTACCATTAATTAGTTCTCCATTTTTATAATTTTATCATTTCAAAATGTTATATAAATGGAATTATACAGTATGTAATCTTTTGAGATTGTCATTTTTCATTCAGCATAATTCTCCCTGAAATTGTTGCATATATCAATAATTCTTTTTATTGTTGAGTAGTATTTCATAGCATGAATGTACCAGTTTAATCACTGAAGGACATCAGTGGTTATTTTCAGTTTTTGGCTATTTAGATTAAATCTACTTTACACATTCATGTACAAGTTTTTGTGTGAATGTAAATATTCACTTATCTGCCAAAAGTGTAATTGCCAGGTCGTATGGTAGTTGCATGTTTAGTTTTTTAAGAAACTGTCAAAATGTTTTCTAAAATGCCATACAACTTTACAGACCCACCAGCAACGTACAAGTGATCTACTTTTTCTGCATCTTTGCCATCATTTAGTGTTACTATTTTATTTATTTTTTTATTTTAGCCATCTTAATAGGCTAGTTTGTAGTTTCAATTTGCATTTCTGTAATGGCTACCGATGAACATTTTTTCAGGTACTTATTTGCCATCTGTATATCTGCTTCAGTGAAATGTCTTTAGCTTTATTTTCTAATTGGATTTTTTTTTTTTT